TTTACAAATTACTCCTTTGTTCATGATTAGCAGTATAATACCAGAGCTAAAAGCAGAAGGCCTTCTCTATAGGATGTAAATAATGAGGTCTAGAGGCCAGTGTAGAAGACAGACAGAGCCAAAGGTGACTTGGGAAAAGATCTAATAGGCAGACATTACTAACCCGTGTCCACAATCAATCCACAGGACAGGATGACACCTACCCAGAATGGGAAAATACCTACTCTGCCTGGACAGGAAGAACCCAGGAGAGGCCATGCTAGAATGAGCAGACAACGCTAACACTGTGAAAGCAGAAAACTGCTGGGTCTGGAGACCCAGAATCCTGGTTATCGAGATGCAGTCCCCATACAGTTCAAACAGCCCTCTGACAAGTCAGAGTTCCCTTTTCCTTGACCTAACCTTCACTATACTATCTCTTGATAAAAGACTAGTGACCAGACAAACCACCACTGGAAACGCAGGGTGCTGTACAAAGCAGGGAAGTCGTTCCCCACCAAGCACGGCGCACTGTGAGTAAATCAGATTCCGGCTCACGCCACTCGGCTAATGCGAGCCAGTTTCCCAAACCTGGGAAACAGTCCTGGGATGGAGCCCAGGAGGGAGGTGCCCATCTTGTGTGAGGACCACCCTGCAGCCCACTCCCAGCCACTGAGAGATGGAGCTGCGCTGGCTCCATCCAGCTCTGGTGCGACTGAGACCTGAGACCCACTGCAGGCCGCAGTCCCCTCTCCTCTCTACTTACCATAGTGCTTCTCCCAGATCAGAAGGAGAGCAGTGAAGCCGATGAAGAACATGGCAGCGCCCACAACTGTCTTCCACTCGTTCGTGCCCCTATTCATTTCAGCAAAGCTCTCGTTGAACTTAATGCGATATACTAAGAACAGAAAGGACAGTCGTTTGCAGGCAGAAAGACCTATGGGGACAAAAAGCTCCCTCCTCCACAGCACTCCACCCTTTGTCCCACAACAACACAGCTAAGGGATAAAACACGGAGTGAGGCATACGACGCAGGCCTAAGGCCGTGACAGGCTCGTGCACGTGCTCTCTCACACATGCATGTAAGGGGTGAGGGAGGGAAGAAAATGCATGGAGTTTGCTTTGGGTGCAAAAACCCAGTGAAATCTCTTCTTCTTGAGATTACGGTGTGGGTCTCACTTAATCTCCTTGCTTGCATACCCTCTCCTACCTGACAGTGTTTGCTGCTCTTCCGTGAATAATCCACAGTAAACCCGTCCTACCCAGCAGGCACTGAGAAGCTGCACCCACACACTCCGCACTCTCCTGACCCACACACGGCTGCTCTGCGTCCACGTCCACGCTCCTCCCCGGGGGCTGCAGCCCCAGAAGCAGAGACAAAGGGGCCCGGGCAGAGGTCCAGTCAGCTGGCAGATACAGAAACACAACACACAGACCCTCCCAAGCGTGCTGGTCTCTGGCAGCACTCCCGAGCTACAGCAGAAACTCCCTCACTGTGGGCCTGCTTCCCCACGATACCCACGTTCAACTTTCTCCTCAATGGAGAGGCTGCTCCAGGGGGCCTTCTCCTTCTCTTTCAAGGCCTTCTGGCTGGCGGAAAGGCTCTTAACGTGGGCCACATCGGGCAAGGGGTAGTCCCGCCGGTCGACGTAACTCGGGAGAGCAAAGTCCTCACTCTTCACAACGCTTCCTAAAACACAGTGGACAAACATTTGCAAGTTCACAGAAGCTCCATTACAAACAAGCTGGTACTTCTAAAAACCGAAATAAGTACAGGTATGTACACCCTGAAAACCTCAGTCGTCACAAGGGGCTGCGGCCACTGTTCCAACCAGCGGAAGGATGGTCGTGTGAACAGGGAGCAGGCTTGTCCTGCATGGCCCAGACGGCAGGATGAGGATGAGGGGTAGATGGCTAACAGCAGCACTCCTCTTCAGAGCAAAACAAAAACCTGCCGGGGCCAACAGCTGACAGAGGTAGCACTTCCCACAACCGACAGTACTCACGCAGAGGCCACCCGAGGCCTCTCAGCGTTCCCTGCCCCGGCCTGGGGACTAGACTAAACAAGGCCCTTCTGCGAGGGACTCGAACTAGTGAGGAAGAAGAAAAACAATATAACACTTGCAAAAGAAAAAAGTGTTCCAGGGGCTGGCCCCGTGGCCAAGTGGTTAAGTTCGTGCGCTCCGCTGCAGGCAGCCCAGGGTTTCATCAGTTCTAATCCTGGGCAGGGACATGGCTCTGCTCATCAAACTGAGGCAGCGTCCCTCATGCCACAACTAGAAGGACCCACAACTAAGAATATACAACTATGTACTGGGGGGCTCTGGGGAGAAAAAGGAAAAAAATAAAATCTTTTAAAAAAAAAAAAGAAAAAAGTGTTCTAAGTTCAGAAAGATGGTTACTGCGGCACTGTTTACTACAGCAAAAACCCAGACCACCTATGTCCAAGAGAGGGCGGCCTCAGAGACTGAGCCAGCTCCTGAGAAAGGTGCATCACGGAGCGGGCGCTCATCTGTTCAACAAGGGTTTCCCGAGCGCCCAGTACACGCTCCAGACACCTGGGATCAGCAGGGACACAAGCAGACTCCTGCCCACTAGTGCTCGCACGCAGGAGTGGGAAACAAACAACAGACATCCAGACGCACAGATTACAGAGCATGCTAGGAAATGAGCGCTCTGGAGAAAAGGCAAAAGGAGAGCAGAGGAAGGGCATGAGGAGGAATGTGTGTGGCAGACGCAGGAGGCAAGTCACAACAGTAAAGAAGAGGCAGAGCCACAGGCTCAAAACGGAAGGACAACCGTGGACTCGACAAGGCAGGAACAATATCAGGGTTTCTGGTTTTTCTGTTTAAAAACATAAATCATGTCTACTTACTCACACGTATATGTAACTCACACACAAAACTCCCGGCAAAGTAAACACACGATGCTATCAGTGGGAAGCCGAAGGACAAAATGGGCATTTCTGCTCAGAGATAGAAATTTTAGTGCCTTAAAATGAGCATGTACTCATGTATTACTCAAGTAAAGAGGAAAAAAGTTCAGACAGCAGAAGAGAATATCTTAATTTTTATTTTGGGTTTTCCCACTGCTAAAAGCTGTTTGTTCAACTCTATCCTACGTCTGCAAGTCTTTGTGTTCCAAACTGGCGAACACAGGCCACCTGCAGAAAAGCTTCACCTCCACTAGTTTAGTCCCGAGGATTAAAATCTCCCAAATCATATTAACAATAGTGACAGAAAACATCAAGCCTTAAGGAAAGTAGTATAACTTCTCTAGATGCTTATCTTTGCCACGCCAATGACTAGCACCCTTATTTATTTATACATGACCCTTATCCCAAAAGGATTTGAGGGGAAAGTGGCTAGAATTACTTCCATATTTTAAATTTTTCAGATTAAAATGATGAGTGGACTAAAAAGAACGGTGTATACCAGCACTCAGTTTACACATGAATTATTAAAAATAGATGTAAATTGGAATGATGACAATGTTCTAAAGTTGATTGTGGTGATAACGGCACAACTCAGTGAATATACTAAAAAACCATTGAAATGTACACTTTAAATGGGTGAAGGTATGTCATGTGAATTACCTGTCAATAAAGCTGTTATGAAGAGGTAAAGGTTTACAACTTTGGAGCACAAAACTGCATTTTCTAGAACAAGAATGGCCAATTCATGGTTTCAGGGCTGCCAGGGGTTGCTCAGTACTTTGGGCCTGGACCCTTGGCAAATACCAAACATTCCTTTTAAAAACAGAGAGAAGCAAAGACTTTGCATCCTAGTGAATGTTTTGTCATTTCTCTCCACAACCTGGACGGATTTCTGGCTGAGCCTCTGCTGAGGAAATCTGGTGAATCTGAGCTTCTCCTCAATCAGATGTGTCACTGCACAAATATCCAAACCGACAACAGTGGCCACCAACAGCACTCCATCAGACTTGTCTAGTGGACGACAGTTCTCTCCATCTGCCAACTGTGTGCTGGAGACAGCGCTGAATAAGATGGGCAAGGCCCGTGGCCTCAAAAAGCTTGTATTCTAGAGGCAGACAGACAAGACTCAAACATATGTGCAAACCCACGGTACGTCAGCGCTCTAAGGAAAAATGAAGTGGGATGATGCAGGGCAGGGGGCATCTTTAGGACAGGTGGTCAGGAAAGGCTGTTCTAAGTAATGTTTGCACTGAGGGCGATGACCAGAAAGCAGCAGCCAGCCACAACTCCGGAGCTCTGAAGCAGGAGGCAGCAGCCCTACGCATCTGAGGAACAACATACCCCGGGGGCTGGGAAGTGCGCGCGCCGGGGGCTGGTGTGGGTGGTTGTTGGCTTTTCTGAGTATGATGTGAGGACATCAGAAAGGCCAGATGCAGACCTTACTCTAGGCAGGAGAAGCCACTAGGTTTCAAGAAAGGACTGACTTGATCTTAATTCTCAGCCAAAACAATACCTAACAATAAGTCACAGCCACTACAAAGAGACAGAAGCTGGCTTCTCAGAAAGATCAGAATGACCAGAGGGACAAGAAGGAACTTTCGGGGGTGATGGAGATTACTATGTCGTGACTGGGGTCGTTGTTACACACTGTGTGAGCTTACCAAAATCCACAGAACACTACACCCAGAAAAGATAAGTTTTACTTTCTGTAAATTATACCTCAAACAAAGTAAATAAAAAGCTAAGAAAATAAACCAGCAAAGCCTAGGCTTTTAATGAAGGAAGGTTTCTTCACATATGTTTTAACTAAACAACAAATCTTTATCGCTTACTCACTTAAACTAACAGATATTTCAACAATACTCTAACTAGAATGATCTGTTTTAGAGTCTGTGTCCATGGTGTTGTCCTGGGCAACAGAACGAATACAAAGAAATGTAAGACAACAGTATCGCCAATCAAAAGACACAATTTCAAGGGAAATTCACACATCAAGCAGTGCAGGTAACCCTAGTTCCTGGTTACTGAGCCCCTAGATACATAAACCTCGGTCTCCATCTTCATCGCCATCAAGCCTCGCCCTCGATCCCTCAGGAACGACTCGCCATGCTGATTCCTGTTGTGTCCTCTTGCTTTCCCTCCCTCTGCAGTGCCGTTCCCCTCGCAAATGGGAGATTCAGCCTGTAAGTCCTTCAGTATAGCAAAGTCTGTCCTCCAGAAGCCCCCCTGAACCCCAGGCCAGGCTCAATGCTTCTCCTCAGGAGCCTTCTCTTACTGACACACTGTCTTCATGTATCAGTCCCTCTCTAGACTGCAAACATCCTTGTGGAAAGACTCCACACCTTATACTCTTTTTATCCTCAATGCCTAACAGCGTCTGGTACCAAGATGATGTTTGATAAATGCAAAACTAAACTTGCCATAGTGAACTAAGTTCTTTACATATATTTCAGGTGAGAAAACAGATTCTTACACTTAAGTAGCTAGTCCAAGACAGAAATGCGATTGAACCCAGCTCAGGCTCGGAAGTCCAAGCTCCTTCCCTCCAATTGCCCCAGTAATGGAAACGGTATTGAAGGTAAGTGACTGGGAGGTTTTTTTTAGAGGGAGGGGAGATCTTTAAAGGCAGGTAATGGTGTAGAAGAGCTCTTGAAAGGGGTAGAACTTGAACCTAAAAAAATGGGAAGGGAAGGAAAAGGGGGAAAATGTCAGTACAAGCAAAGATCTAGACTCATATTCAATGACTCATAAATATGCTTAAATCTAGAACTAAGCCGTGTTAAAACACCTATACCTCCCCTCACAGCCCTAACAGCAGAATCAGCATCTTAGCCATCTGGTTTGAAACTCCAGCACAGGGCCTCACACACAGAAGCAGCAAAACAAAATTAGCTCAGCCTTAAAGAAAAGTTACACTTACCGTGTGCTCGTACACACACCGAGGTGGAAATTGCTCGCTTGCCAATTAGGCTAAATACTCTGGTAGCCAACATTCTGAAAGATAAAAACGTACACCTTCTCCATGAATGAGAGCAAACACCTACTGGGCATGATTCTTCTTTTTGCCCCAGTGCATTCTGGAAGTCAATGCAATTCTTTTGTTGTCTACTCCCCAACATAAATGATCCGTTCTTCATTACTGACTCTGAACTCACAAAACCACCTACGATGAGGTTTTTCTTAGCACTCAGCACGTTTTTACAGAGCTTCCTTATAAACCAAGTGCCACGATGTATACACTCCAGGCAATTAGCAGAAAATAGGCTTTCTTAAAAAACAAGTAGAAAAAATTTTAGTAAACAGACTCTGAAAAAACTAGAAACGGTAAAGCACTGTGCTGTGATGATGAGCCCCACTGTTTGGAGGGGAAAGGTTAACAGCTCACAGGGACTGCGGCATGCACCGCATTCAACTGAGTACCCAGTTATGAAGCTAATATGCGCATAGGATAGGAAGGGGAAATCAGGCAGAAAGCCTGCAAATACGGCCCTGGTCCACTTCCAATCCCTGCGGAAACGGACGACCTGGATGACCTATTCTCACCGGGGCCCTTCCTGCTCAGACCTCCCTACCCTTCCTTTAAAACTGGATCCTCCCTGGCACTGCTGATAATGAACAGGACCCCGAACGCATTCGCAAAACATCCCCGACTAGAGGCAGAAGCAACAGAAGCATGACGTCAATGCGGTACCCGGCCCTCTCGCTTCTCAACTCCCCGGCCCAGCCCGGCCCGGCCCTGCGGGGTCTGACGCCGAGCGCCCCTCCGGGAGCCCGTTACCCCGGGAGCCAGTTACCCCAGGCCGGTGGCGCACACGCCGCGCCCAGGGGTGACCTGCCCCGCGGGCCCGCGCCCTCGGCCAGCGGGCGCTCCAAGGTCACAGCCCGAGGCCAGCCTGCGGCCGCGGCACAGCAGAAGGAACCGGGCCAGGGGCTTCTGGGCGGCACATGGGCCGCGACACGGCGGTCCCCGAGCCCCGAGCCCCCGGGGGCCGGCCCCAATGTCACCGGGCGCCGAGGCCCAACTGCCGCTTCCCGCTGGCTCCGGGTCGCAGGGCTGCGGGCACGCAGACCCGATGGCTCCCGGCCCCCGACCCTCCCCGGCCTCGCGGCGCTGACCGTCCGCAGCCTGCCTCACCTGCCGCCGCACCGCCGCTGCCCACCTCTCCCGCCGCGACCGCCCTCTACGCCCCGGTTGCCCGCGACCGGAAGAGAGCGAGGCCCGCCGCGGAGCACCACGGGATTCAGGCGGACTCCACCCCGCGCCCGGCCGCGCCGGAGGTCACCGAGCGGAAGTGAGGGAGCGTCGCGAACGTCGTAAAAGGCCGGGTCGGGCTGCTTTCCGGCGGGCGCTGAGGCACCGCTTTCCGGCGGCGCCTGGCGAGGACCGCGAGTGGAGCGTGAGGCGGCCGCGTCGGCTTCTTCTGGGCCGGAGCGGGCGTCCGAGGGGCCGAGCCGGGCCGGTCGGGGCCTCCGCCCGCCGCTGGGCCGCGCCACACAACCGCCAACTCGTCTCCCTTCTCCGCGGAGGCTCCGCGCGGCCGGGCAGCGCGGCCGGGCCTCCGTCGGCGCCCGGGGCCTCCGGGGCCCTCCCGGGCTCAGCATGCCCGGGGTGAAGCTGACCACCCAGGCCTACTGCAAGATGGTGCTGCACGGCGCCAAATACCCGCACTGCGCCGTCAACGGACTGCTGGTGGCCGAGAAGCAGAAGCCGCGCAAGGAGCACGTCCCCCTGGGCGGCCCAGGCGCCCACCACACCCTCTTCGTGGACTGTATCCCCCTCTTCCACGGCACCCTGGCCCTCGCCCCCATGCTGGAGGTGGCCCTTACCCTGGTAAGCGCGGGAGAGGACAGTGGCTTCCACGCAGTCCCAGCTGGCAAGAGCTCAGAGCCCACCCCCGAGGTCGCCGTGACGGTGGACGGGGGGACCCCCGGGGGCGCACGGAGCCGTACCTGGCCCCCGGTGAGCTTCCGCGGACGGCAGCTCTAGCCGCAGCGGCCGACCGAGCGACCTGCACCGCCGGGGATGTTTTTAGAGGCGATTTAGGCGACGAATAAGGCACTGATTTTTCTCAAACCGGTAGCCTTTATAGCAACAAGCCCGAAGCCACGATCGCTAGCCGGGTGATGATTCAACAGCGTTTGTATCTGGGGTGTGGAGCCGCGGGAAGTGCTGCTGTGCCGGGACCTCAGCGCCGGAGTTTGGTGCTCGCGCAGGTTCCTTCTCCGCCGGGGGGTCAGGCTGCGGTTCTTCGGTGTCGGGACGCCGGGACCCCAGAGGGGAGACGCGGTTAGGGAGTAGCGTTGACATCACGGGCGCTCTCTGCTTGGAGGTGCACGAGGGCTGTGCTAGGAGATTTGTCTGTGCCTGTTAGTGGTTAGTGACTTGTAAGAGGGCTCCTATGGTTGTGGAAGCTAAAGACTTTCTGTCAAACTAAAAAGGGGAAGCACACGTGCCTTCTGTCCACCACGCTCTTCTGTGTCTGCTGGCAGTGACTGCTTTACCAAGTCCGGCGCGGGGAGAGGTTAGCATGCAGGTGAGCTGGCCGGGAATGGAATTCCAGGCGGTGGTTTGTGAGGTTTGGTGGTCAGTGAAGGGAAAAAGACCACCTATGAACTCCAAGGAGTTGTCGCCACCTTAGGGAGAAGTAGGCTGTAGCCTCAGACCTGCCTCAGTACCTGAGCTCAGGTCCTGTTTTTCACTTAAGTATAAACTATGATGCTGAAAAAACATGAGTTAATTCTTGCGAAAAGCAGCCAAGTGTGAGAAGGTGGAGGTGGAAATTCTCTATGCCTCCCACCAAGTAAAATGAATCCATTTCATAACTTACCTGATTGTGACATCTATGTAAATTCTTGGTGAGCAGGAAGTGCCTTTGGGCAAAGGCTCCTGGCCTAAGGTTACTGGGCACAGCTTTGAGAGCCTGTGAAACTGACTCATTGTGTGAATTTCTTCATGTCGGCTCTGGGCAGGAGATAGGTAAGAAGTAGATGATATTTATAAAATCAACCATGTTAGCTCCTGAAGAAATTTGCTGTTGGTACCAAAACAGCACTGGGGTGTGCATGCATATGTTTTAATGCAAGTCTTTTCAACCAACTGTCTTAATTATTCTGTTACCAAGGGAATTGCAGGGTGATTGGGCATGAAGTGCATTCACTTGCAGGGACCCGGATTTGCCCGTAGCATTAATGCAGGATTATTCAGTTCTCCAGTCGTGCCAGGCCTGTGCTGGGGGAGGGATATGACTGTGGATCAAACACAGTCAAAACAGCAGTTGAACTTGCACCAAGCAGACAAGCACAATACCGATGAGTAAGTGCTGTATGTGGGGTTGAGAAAGTGTGAGGGGTCTGAGGGAAAAGTCAGCTAACCCAGGCTTGCAGAGTTAGGGAAGACAGACTGCTCAGAGAAATGGACATGCGAGTAGTGGCCCAGTGGGCCAACCATAGTAACCTCGGGGGTGGGAGGTAGAGGAAGAGTGTTCAAAGCAGAGGGATCAGCATGTGCAAAGGCCAGGAGAAAAGGGGGTGGGTGGTGTTTGAGGAAGAACTAGAATATAAAGGGACTGGGGGTACAGAGAGGTGAGCAGTGGACAGATTTCACTGTAGAAAGGAGTTTGGGCACCAGCATGAGGACAGGGTGTAGCCGCTGGAGGAGAGTTGCATGGCCAGATTCGTGTCTTGGAGTGATTGCTCCAGCCTGCAGCAGAGAGGATGTTGGACACAGGAGTGCATCCAAGGCTGGAGGCAGAGAGGTGGCGCAAACTGAGTGCAGTGTGGACGCAGAGAGGGAGACAGATCAGAGAGAACCAGGAGGAAGAACCTCAGGACTCGGTGACTAATGGTATGTGGCCATAGGGAAAAGGAAGCATGGCCAGTGCTTTGGTTTCTGACTTACACATTGGGAGGACAGTGGTGCCATTCATTGAGGGCAGATGAAGACAACCTAGTGTTGAAAGTTGAAAAATGAGTCTGGAGCTCAGAAGACGGATGGGCTGGAGATACAGATTGGGAGCGAATTCTCAGTGACCTTTGAAGCTGTGAGAGCAGGTCGTATTGGCTGGGACAGTGTGTGGAATGAGGAGAGCGCTGTGGACAGGAGCCTGAGGAACTCTAGGTTTGACAGGGTGAATGGAAGAAGAGTTGTTGGCAGGCCAGCCGAGGAGTAGCCAGGAGGGTAGGAGGAAAAGGTGTGTTGCTTTAAATTCGTATAAAAGCCTGTCCGAAGTATCTAAGAGCGTGTTAAAGACAAACTAGAACCTCGCTTGGAATTGTCAAATGTTACTAATTCTTCTCATTCTTAAGTAACTTTTGTAGAGTTAAGAGTTATGCTCCTGTTATGAGATGTGAACACAGTACTTGAGAGAATTAAATATACTAACTAGAAGCAACTACATTGGAAAATTCACCTTTGCATGAATTTCCCCGAGGAGCTGGACTGCCTCCCAAACCAGTTACCTGGGGAGGGGAGCTGCCCCACGGGGACCTGGACCCTCCAGAACCGAGACAGGCCCGCTGCCTCCTGCTTAAGAGGGAGGGGGTGCTGCATGAGGCCCCTTTGTGCTCTTCCCCCCCCCCCCCCCCCCGAGTCGCTACACTCTGCACTCCAGGCTCAGCTTCCAGCATGCCCCAAACATGCCTGTCAGGGCTCAGCGAGTCTC